TAGGATTCTGTCACTGTTGCTGTGAGTTCATATGAGCAACGGACCAGCTGTCTGGAAAACTCTATTCCCTTGTGGTCATCCACCACCTCTGGCTCTTACAGTCTTTCTGCACCATCTTCTGCAATGATCCCTGAGCCCAGCAGGGCTGAAGTTGCTCATCCCTCCCTGTGCTCCCTTCTCTGCCCCCCCATTCCCCACAACATAATTCTAGCAGAGATGAATTAATCTCCAACCCCACCTAAGGAGTTGTGTCAACAGGTGAATGTTGGGAGCGGCAGAGACAGTCTCTTTCAAGCACAGCACTCTTTGTAGGTTAACCAGGCTGGAGTAGATGGACCCACACTGCAGCACATTTGGGAGCACAGATTAAACTCTGTAGGCCTTATTATATATAATAGAATACCTTAAACTGGGTGGGGTGATAAGGGGAGGGGTTAGGAGAATCTAATACCAACCAATTAGACTTGTGAAAACTGTAAAAATCAATTTAAAATGGAAAATGGAATATTCCTAAATAGTTACGACTTCTTAGTGACCTGTATTGGGTCCACAGTGAAACAGAGCTTTTATTCTCTGGTTCACACCATCGTCCGATTGGCGATGCATCCATTTCGAATTCTTTTCTACTGCACTGTTCTAAGGTATCGTCATGTTTTCTTGACGCATTCATTTCTTGAATCTTACTTTCTTAGAACATACACAGATAATGTTGCTTTTACTAGTCTGTGAAATAGAATCTGCAGTATAGAAGCCTGTAAAACCAAGTCTCCAGTGCCTTACCTACAGCCTTCAGGGCTAAATGCATTTGTGGATTTTTAGAGTTCTTTTTTTTAATTTTAGGAAAATAATACGCATACATGACATGAAACTACAGATTCTGCTTTAGACCTTCTGAATGTTCAAATAAAATATGATAAAGATCCTATATTGCATTGTGTGAGTTGAGTTTAGACTTTCCCACCAAATGAGCTATGAAGACTCTTTTGGGATTGTTCCCAGAGCATTTTGGATTTCACAGATGAGAGATGAGAGTAGACTCCAAACAGCAGCAACAAATACTGGTGACAGCTGGGTAGCACACGCCTTTAATCCCAGCACAGGCAGGTGGATCTCTGTGAGATTGAGGCCGGCCTGGTCCACACAGCAGGTTCCAGGCCAGCTGGGGCTACAGGGAAATCCTGTCTCAACTTCTCGCCCACAAAATACTGGCAATAAACTCGCGCAGTATATCAAGGATAATTAGAACAGAGGCTTCAGTCTTTGGAATTGACTTACCCAT